ATGTACCATTCAAATCACAATTAAAATACAACTATACATACCCCAGATAGACTTAAGCTGTATTCTGCTAAGAGGCTACAAAGATTGTGTACGTGTATGTGTGTGTGTGTGCGTGTGCACGTGCACACGCGTGCATGTTGAAAGGTTGTACCATCTCTTCAGCTACATATAAAGAAGTGCAGGGGAGAAGGAGATTTTCCAACGTGTTAAATTATTTTTCTTGGAAGAGCTAATGGGAAAAATTAAACATGTACCTGGAGAATGTAAAGTATGCTGAGCCGCAGTTGCATTACAACAATAATGTTCTCCGGAGGGAATGGTATAAGCTGCTTTCAGAAGAGGTAAAATAAAAAAGTCTAAAAAACTGTCTAATAGACTGTCCAGCTAATAGGCTTACATTCTGTGGTGAGTAATATGAACCCAGAAGAATTGAGTTTTTAGTAAGATGGGTTCAACCACTGATGGAAATGGGGTATTTCTTGAAGGGGAGCCCCCAGCATAGAAATGAAAAGTAAATCATTGCAGTTTTGGTGGGCTTATATAAGAAGCTATGTTCCACAGCCTGCTCCTGCCCAGGAACTTGGATTTCTACTACTGTAAATGCTGTGCAGCTTCTTGAATTTTACCCAGTGTGGGTTTTACTTTGAAAAGTTCTTAACACCCCAGTTCCACCTTATACCATTAGATATAAAAGTCAGCTCTGCTTCTCATCATTCTTTGATTTGGCAGACTTGTAACTGCTCTGCAAACTTTTTCTTTTCAATTCACAGAAGGAGGGAAGAGGAGCCCCTGCGTATTTGAAAAATATTTTTGAAAATGCAAGAAAGTAAGCAAACTTTTTGTTAACGTTACCCTTCTTTATTTTGCTGAATAATTGCTGGATTTAAATATCATGTCAAACTTGGCTGCATCTTGTTGCTATCAGGTAGTTAGTTTATTTAAAGCAGTTTATTAGAGATCATTCATGTGTCTGTCATAGGATGATGTCAGTAATGACACTGGGGAGTCTAGTCTTTGGGCCTAAGGAATAAATGTTACAAATAAAGAGTTTTAATTTCCTTTTTTAATTAAAAATGTAATTGATTTCATGCCACTTTTCTTAACTATAATGAGATGATATACTCCATAGATGTAATGACACTTTCTGTGTTTTAAATCTTTGTTTAATGTGAGAAATCAAGGAATAGTGCAACTTTTTAACATGTCTGTTTCTAAGAAACAGTTTTTAAAGTGGCCTTTTTTCCTTTGTCTAGGGTGCTGTCCAACCTGGATACCTGGAGCATGGGTAAGGAAAATAGGCATTGACATAACTTTTAGCTGGCTAGGATGCTGAAATGTTTGTATTTATTAGAATATATACATATATTTGTGCATGTGCCTTTAAACCTAACTGCCTTTGAAAGATCTAATATATAAGTTGGGCAGAATTGGTGGGGGGTGGGGTGTGTGTACTAGCCAATTACCCATCAAGAATGATGGCAGGGGTAGGGAGTGGACAGTGATGGAGTCCCAGGCCTGCGGGCCTCACCCCCCCC